GGTTCATAATTCGGAATAGAAAATAGGGTCCATAACTCCGAAAATGAGATAGATTCATAATTCCGACAATAACGTTAACGTATGAGCCTTGTATCATTATTCGGAATATTAAATGAATCTCTATTTCCAGAATTTGTAACTCTATTACAATTTCGGAATTGCGAATCTTTTTTACTTCCTGAGCTCCATGTACGAATTAAAGTTTAGATAAGCGAACATTCGGAAAAACACATGTATTGTTGGGGCTATACCCTATATCATCACTGGAATTACATTTATGAAGCCGATTTCATGGGAAAATGTGTGTTTTATAGAAATGATGAAACTTCGGAAAAATGAACCTTCGGAAAAATCGAGCGTTTCCAATTTTGTCGACGGCATCATGCAGAATTTTCATTTCGTTCTCATGCAGTCGGCATCAATATTTCAATTCTGATGTCCATTAATTGTTATCTTATTTTGAATGACGTAACAATACGTTGTTTTGGATTTAGATAGAAAGGTGACTTAGGAAAGCGATATGTTTACACTAATCTTGAAAAGACCAGATTCTAAAGCGCTATGAAATTTGCAAGAAATTTCGTTTTTTAGATTCGCATGTTGATCGAACTGCAATGTATTTTGGTTACAGTTGCAAAAGTTTTCATACTGAAGATTAAATTGATTTAGATTTCTGTCAAAAGCCTTCTAGGGAAAGCAAGAAGCATACAAAGCAATACGTGAGTTAATGAATGAATGGATAATGGAGTAAATAAATGAAAATAAACGTATTCTTACCCTATAAAAAACCATCGTAAATGTTCTGTTTATAATTATGAAAAATATTCTGCACGACAGTAGATGGCGCTATGTGGAATACATTCCTTCTAGGGTCGTTTTTACCTTCCAGTTACAATTTAAAAACGTACACCAACAAACACGCACACGCACACGCACCCCACGCAGAAACACACCTATTCACACGCCACTTGGACGCTCATCAATTTCTAATGCTTTAAGACCATCTCTGAACACGATGTGACACATTCCATCTGTTATTCAGAGCCTACTTCTATAACTGTTGCTTTAATTATCATTCTTATTATTTTTTTCAATTTTGCCTTTAATTCGCAGGCCCGGCGGATGGGAGGTGTACCTCTCTCTCTCTCTCTCTCTCTCTCTCATTTACATGTATGTCATAAGAAACTTTACCCTGCGTAATGGGGCGCATCTTTGGAGATGAGGTAGAGAAAATTGTCGTGTTTATTTGGGTGCTTTTCCCCAAATATGTGATTAAGATCACGATTGAAATCTTTATATCAATCACTTAATTGATAGACTTTTATTCAATCTTCGTTTGAATAGTTCTTCGAATGATTGATCGATTCATTTTTCACTCATTCAGTCAGCCACTCGTTCACTCATGCATTCATTCGTTCGGTCATTCATTCATTAATTCGTTTATCATCATTTATTCATTCATCCATTCATTCATCTATCTACTCAATCACCCATCTTTGCAATCATGTCATTCATATTTTCATTCATTCAATTAATTAACTAATCAATTAGTTTATGCATTCATTCATGCATTCATTAACCCGTTGACACAGGGACCACCAGGTTGACTACTGAAATGTATAAGTCCCATAGGCTTAACACAGGGACCACCAGGTTCCCGTAAGCAAAGGGTTTAGTCAGTCATTCACGCATTCATTCACTCATTCACTCACTAAGGCTAGCCGAATTTTCCACTTTTGGTCAACATATCTCTACATGGAGCTGGACAAAACAAGCAGACTGCCTCAATGCAAATGAAACAAAAACGAATTGTTTGAAACAAATATGACAGAGAAACTAATTGTTTTAATTGTGCAACCATGATAATTTTCATTAATGTGTTGATACAAATGTAATTTGCAGCAAACTGCATCAATTAAACCAAGAAATGTGAGAAACACTACCTTTCATGAATGAAATTTTGAAATATGCAAGTGTTAACAAATTATACAAGCTTACTCATCGTATAAAAAAAAACAATATTAAAGATTTGAATAATTTAAAAACCAGGGGAAAATGCTGTTGTTGTGATCATTGATAATTTTTTTTAGGTAGTATGATATGTCGCTCATCAAAATAGGATCACGGATTACTGACCATCCCGAAAATAAATTATATCACCACAATAGCCATACTTGACTATTGTTATGTCAGTATGAATAACTCAACACTCATGCCAAAATTAAACTACAATGTGCATTTCATCTCCATCTCCAATCCTTTACACATGAACTCTCTTTCATTAACTCCTTTTGTACATGTTGTCCTACTGTTGTAAAAAGTAAATTGTACTTATTCCACTGAACAACGAGATTCAACTAAAGTCTAACAAAACTGAACAAAAACGTGATTTCTACTTGGAGATTAACATTAATGAACCACAAACACAAAGTACATGTACACTCCTTTTCATAAACCCATCTGCTTTAAGGCCCGGTCACACAGGGAGGACGCATGGGGAACGCACGGCCAGCGCATTGGAAATTTGCAATTTGGGCCAGTGCGTTGTCGTTCGCTAGGCGTGCGTCGTCATTCGTTACTCGTTCGTCGAGCGCGCTGGACCAACGCTGGACCAGCGCTATGCATGCGTCGTCATTCGCTGTGTGCGTCGGGATTTTTTGAGCATGCTCAAAAACGTGCGCCGAGCTCGACGCATGAATATACACGCCAAAGGCACGCCAGACATGCGCCGGAGCGCGCTAGACCAGCGCCAGACATGCGTGGAGCGCGCTAGACCAGCGCCAGACAAACGCGGAGCACACGCCCTGTATACGCACAGCGCGCTAGCTACACGCCGTGCATTTTGTGTCAGCTCGCTAGCTTTTCCAAAATTATGACAAAAGTTAGGCACACGTTCTTTTCCGATTTCCAATGCGCTGGCCGTGCGTCGTAGAACGCGGTGCATGCGTGGACCATTCGTCCAGCGCGCTAGCAACACGCTGTGCATTCGTGGAAGTTGTTTTCATGTGCGCTCTGTGTGCGCTCTGTGTGCGCCCTGTGTGCGCCCTGTGTGCGCCCTGTGTGCGCCCTGTATACGCCCTGTATGCGTCCAGCGCGCTATGCATTTGGTGTCAGCTAGCTGTATAGCTTCGACAAAAGTTGGGCGCACGACAACGCACTGGCCAAAATTGCAAATTTTCCATGCGCCGGCCGTGCGTCCCCCATGCGTCCCCTCTGTGTGACCGGGCCTTTATAAACAGCAAATATAAGCAATTTCACTTAAGATTTCTCAAAAAAAAAAAATATGTAGTAATTCAAGCACTTTTATTTCCACTTGAGAAGGTAGAGTATTGATCTTGAATTGGAAGAGGCACCATTGCTTTACCTGAACTAACAAACATAATTTGAAAGAGAAATTATATTTCTCCTAAAAAAAACAAGGTATTCATGAGCACTTCTTGCTTAATCATTATAGCTACCCTCAAATCAAGTGACATTACATGTACCTGTACAGTTATTATGCATTCTATTACAGGTAACAACTACATGAACCCCTTAAAAAATGATCTAAAATTGTTTAACCTTTCTAAAAAAATCAATTTGTAAGCAGAAGCTTGATCATTCCGCGAAAAAATCCATAAAAGTCTATTTCCATTTCCATTCAGAATAAAGGGGGGGGGGTGGTGTCTTAATGTGTATGCCTTTATTGTTTAGTGTCTTAGATGTGTGCCTGCATCTGGGAGACTTTTGGAACAAGTTGTGAGCAGTTCGACAGGAAGCTTATGAGTGAAATATAAATGAGTTCCAGAATGCAAAAAAGAATCATAATTGTTAATAATCATACTTTTCTTCGCATAGATGGTAATAGTATTAGTATTTGGATTGGGTACACAAATGTACACAGACTACTGTAATTGGTCTGGATATGAGTCAAAATTCCATTCAGATAATTATGGCAAACAACTTTTCATTCACAAATATCACTAAATAGTAGGCCTTTAGCGTGTATTCATGTCACAGTAGGCTCATTTACATATCCCGAACACTGTTTCGAAAGACTGTCGATATTGTTGGATAGCCATTAAAATCGCTGGACATTATTTGGTATGGTGTAACAAGCGCAATATGCTGCCCATTTATGCATCTTATGGATAACACAGAGCTTAGAGACTTCATGTGAGGCCTTTGCTGTGCGCAGTTGCCATTCAATTTACAAATTGTGAGACACAAATAAAAACTGCTGCAGTTCACCACCTCATATCTGAACGAACCTTCATGGATCAAGCCGATTACTGTCGTACAAGTAAAAGTACAATACGCTATTTAACCCTACAATGTATGTTAACTGGGGGGAGGGGGGGTAATTTAGCGACTACTCTGGAACCGCGGCAGATATAAAGTTTTTCTTTCATTACATTTTTCTTTTCGTCTTACGCATCTTTTAAAACAATGTTGTGGAAAATCGGACGTATAGTAACAATGTCACGTGACCTATTGTCTTTTCATGTCATGTCTTTGCATGTCCCCCCCAAACAAAATTGGGCTCATAACTAATTTTTGTGATTTGTGTACAAAACAAGGAAATATCATTTTTCCTAAAGAGAGATAAAACATTGGTTATTTGGTCTTGATTAAAGTTAAGGTGTTTGTTTTGGAGGCAAAATATTTGAATTGTAGTTAGAAATCAAATAAAACAACAAAAACAATAAAATACATAGGTTAGAAAAATATTGAAATACAAAAGAAATAATCAGAACAGATAACACAAGGAATAACCTGGTTCTTCCAATTTTGTTTGTCATATTATTATTCCAAATAGTGAATATGTATGTAGTGAAAAAGAATGCTTACATATGAATAACATATGATTTATGGGTAAAAATGTGAATTTTATGACCTTGTTTGCATAAATTACAATAAATATGCAAATGAGTAATTTTTTCAAAAAATTGAAATTACCATAGTATTCTATACACTTGACTTGACATGCATGCACATTTTCGCGGCAATCGGCTGTGAAACGGCCGAGATCTTAGTAAAAAAAAGTCTGAAATAGCCCAGTTAAAATAGGGTTAAAGCAACCTAAGACAGGCTCTGATTCATAAGACTTTTTTGTTAGTTACACATTTTGAAATTTTAATACAACTTTGCTCTCGGCCAATCAAATGCAAGGACATCAGTAGCTAATAAAAGTTTTTGTAACTTGTGACTTTTAATGAAACAGGGCTCTAGGAGGGAGGACGAAACTCTCCACTACTTACATTCCTAGCTGTATGAAAGAAAGACAGTTCTGAAAAACAACAGCAATCATGTTGGGTGAAAGACTGACAATGTGGAACATAGTACCAGACAAACCCAACTTATTTTGACCAGGCATTCTAAGAAGTTGAAACCTCACCTCTTCAATGGGCTGAATTCCTTGCAGCCTGTACCTCGTTAAACTCAATGTATCTGACAAAGACCCCACGATTGCTACAAGAACTCTATCAAGGTTGTCTACCGTAGCATACACATACTCATTTTGATTGGTTGCTATGATGGAAGGGCCTACGCGACCTTCCCGGTCAAAGACAGTGACCGTGCTAGGCGTGAAGTTGCCGGTACCGGTACTGGTAATCATTATGCCAGTCCTGGTAACGCAGATCTGCTGCGGTCGGATATTCCCAGTGCGGACCACTCTCTGTGGGTTAGGGTTGCTACCGTCGAAGACGCAGATCACTGGGTTATTATTTACGGCGTAGATGTTGTCATGCTGATCAGTGCTCACCCGGACGAGTCCTCCAGATGGCCTCAAAGCGTACCTCTTGCCGCTACTGCTTCCGCTGATGGTGTTGTATATAACGAATTCATCTCCTTCCTTTGATATAACCGTCCTGCCACCTGAAAGGAAAGCAACATCATAGACGTCACCCACCTCACTCCCAAGGTATGGACCTTCGTCACCCGACAGAGTAAAGCGGTCACAACCTATCCGATCCTCGCCGTATCCTATAACCACTGCATCCTCCGACAGAGCTGCGAGCCCGAACAAGCGTCTTTTATCCAAAGGGAAAGCCCTTGTTCTCACAATACTCATTGAATTATTCAATACTGTTTCTGGAATGCCTGAATCGTTCTTGCAAACTTGCTGCTTTCTTCCTCTCTTGTTTCTTCTATGCTTTCTACCAGTAGTCTTCACATGTTGCGTGGCATTCACGGTTTCCAGACTGCTAGCTGGTGGCCCTCCCGCTTCTTCAGAAACCACAGCATCATCTGTGGTATTATGACTACTATTATTCTCTATGTCGTTGACGCTGACATCTATACAACCTAGGGCAAGAAGCTCATCCCCAGCCGGACAAAACTGTACATTCCTTCTTATCTCTTCCACACGTGTTGTAGACTCTTCATCAGTGACCTTCATCAGTGAATCCTCTAGATCGGCGCATCTCAACTGGTCCGCTTTAATAATATCATGATCTAAAGGCTTACTTGCATGATGGGTTAAGAGTTTGACAGAACTACTGATCTTACCAATGACTTCTGTGCAGCGATAAATACAACCTTCCAACTGCTTGTCCAAGTCTTTCCTGATGCCTTCAATCTTCTCTAGCAATTCTTCCTCATTTTGCTGGAGAGCTACAACCTTGATGGCAAAGGTATCTCTGACTTCCCTCTCCAAACCACTCAGATGTGAATTCATGACATCTCTTTGTAGGAGAGCCTCGCTCAAACACTGTTCAAAGCGGGCCTTTCTCGTCGTGCTCTTCTCAAGAAGAGCATCTCTTTTGGTCTTCAACTCCTTTTCTAACTCCTCCTGCTTCTTAATCTTGTGACCTTGATGGCTGTCGATAAAGCATGTAAGACAGATGAACTCACCACAGGGCTGGCAGTAAATGTCTTTATAGACATTACTATGCAATGAACAGAATTTCGATGAAAGATCGTCTTCCTGACTTTGTGCGATGACGTCCACTTTGAGGAGATCTTTTAGACCTTTGGCTAAGAAGTTTGGTGTCAAACCTGCGACCCGTTCTTGATCCAGCTTGGTCGACTTCCTGCAGACTGGGCAGACAATGTGATTCAGATCCTTGAGTTGCTTGTCATATGCTTCTAAACAACCCCTGCAGAAGGAATGGCCACAGCTAAGGAAGGTAGCGTTACATAAGACATCAAGACACATTGGACAGTTCAAACACTGGAACTTTTCTTCTTTCGACCTGGTAGCCATTGCGGTCTGCTGTCGGGATCACACTGCACAGGGGAAAAATCGAAAAATATCTTTACACATAGTGGAAACTTCCTAAATTCAAAACAAAGATACCAGAGACCTATTTCAAACTTGTTATCAAAAACAAGTTACAATAACTCTTATAAGCTTCTACAGGCATTCGATTGTTACAGGGCAAATTTGCCATAAAAATGCAGCATTTGTTATCTATAGCGAGTTCTACGAAACAGGATCCTGATATGACAAAGTATTTATGCTAGCCCCCGCTCATTAAAGTATTTCGTTGTTGGTTTTCACCCTCATAATTATAGCCAGGCATTTTTACAGTCCAAATGTCCTCGTAATAAAAAAGTGGTTTCCATATTGCATGGGATATTATTCGACTACATATATTCATGACTCATAGTCATATGATGGGGTGACCAAAGTTCGCAGAGGTTTAACCACGTTTTAAAGGAAATATGATATTGGAACCATAAATTCTCATATTGTACACAACTTTATTTAGTTCAATTATAACCAAATATACGTCAAAGATTTTGACTACGATTGGTGGAGCTAGAATATTTATCAGCAAAAGATTTCAGAGATATCGAGATCTCCCAATTCGATGTCAGATAGACATGCGCAACAACTGCCAAAGAGTCATTACAAAACGAGACATAAACTCGGGCACAGGAGTTTACAGCTGATTTCTTAACAGCTAAAAAAGCAATTCATCAAATATAAGATAATTGCAGTTGGTATCACCTCTTATTTTACAATTTTGTTGACATCTCCTCTAGATATGAAGATTCCTGCACCCTTTTGTCGGTAAGTTAAACATTAATACCGAAACGGGCGCTAAAGATAGCAACATCTGCTGATCTTTTCCCAATATTTTCATACTTTCAAACCCAATTACAAAGAAAGATTTATCTGGGTAGTTTAAGGTTTCTCTTTCCATTGGTGGTATCAGATATTTTATATCTTACCGATATCTATCCATAGGGAAATGTCAGCGAATACAAGTCAAGTGCGAACTATGGCCACACGTACAGTCCACCATATTATTAATGTTTCCGTTTCTACATTTGTGTCGTTGACTCAATAACTGTTGACGCGGAGCCATAACAAGTATGCCAGGTGCATGAGCAGAACAAGCCAAACATGTCTCTACACATTACATCCATTAAGTTTCATAACTATATTGCATTTGATGCCAGGAATTTAAGAAAGGAAAAAAAGGGTTCTTAATCCTTAAATTAGCCACATATTGAGATATTATTATTTGTTTTAAATATTAAAAAAATCTTTTTCAATAGTTCGACGACATTTTTGCCCATGTACACACAGAGAAAAGGATACGCCTTATTTACTTAATTGCTGCCAAACATTGTTTGACAAATTGAAACGTATCTTGAGATACTCACTTTCCCGTGAATGCAACAAATGCTTTTTTGAAAAAGTATGTGAGAGACGTCCTTCTATCTCTAAAAACAGTTAAGTTTCGAGATTGGAGACCTAATTTACCAGAAAAATTGTATTTTATTCACCCACGAAATTTACGCCTTAGACTCCTTTGCTTTATTACGGTTGTTAATAATGAAACGATCTATGATATAGACTTGTACTCCCTTTAATCATGTTCATTGCCTTTTACGAAAAAAATATATTTTGTTCGATCCAGGAAGTGAGTGAGAATGTGGTTTTAGTATATGACTCATGTTAAGCAACATTCATACCCGTCCTATGGGCAAAGTAGAGTACAAGCTCTTATTGGATTGAACCCAATATACTTCCGATGATTGTGTCCAGGCGCGTACGCAGGGGGGGGGGGTGGTTGTTGTGGGGTTCAAACCCCCTCAAAATTGTTTAAGTTTTTTTTTTTTAAATACAAAATACTTTTTTTTCTTCAAATTTTAAAAACCCTCCCCTTGAAAAAAAAAATCCTGCATACGCCACTGATGGTGTCACAGTGTTCGATGATTCTAATTCAGGCGTTAACTGAAACTTATATTCACACTCTAAAACAAGTATAAATGTTTTGAGAGTAGTATACTACGCACTTGTCAGAGCTTTAAAGGTAGCGTAACAGACATGTTACCTTTGTCCGCTTCCCAGGTCGGAATTCCAGTTGAAACCAGTAGGTTCAACTGGTTTTTAATATGGAAATTGAAACAACGCTAACTGGGGCCAGTTGATTTACCAGTTGATTTACCAGTTAAATTACCAGTTGATTTACCAGTTGATTATCCAGTTTATTATCCAGTAATCAATCAACTGATAATCAATAATCATTATTAGCATCTGGCCACCAACCACATATACAAACTTTTGCAATTACCCCATCAACATGATCATTTGAAGTAGATTACAGATGCGTGATATTTGAGTTGACATTTATAGTACGAGCATACATTTACAAATGTATACACTTTATTTCCTGGTTAGTAATAACATATATCAACATATCTAATTTTACGTTTTAAATTAGATGAAAAACATGATCAGCCATGTGTAATATATTTGTCAATAATTAACTAAGAAAATATAAATCACAACATTTATGTGCATGTCACATTTGCTTGACAAATCATGATAATTATATTTTCTGTGAAAATATGCAAATTAATCACGAATATGCATAAGATACATTGAACTGGTTTTTCAACTGGTAAATCAACTGGTATTCGTACTGGTTTTCAACTGGTAAATCAACTGGTAATCATCTACTGGTTTTCAACTGGTTAATCAACTAGCTGGTACTCATCTACTGGTTTTCAACTGGGAAATCAACTGGTAATCATCTACTGGTTTTCAACTGGTAAATCAACTGTTAATCATCTACTGGTTTTCAACTGGTAAATCAACTGGTAATATCAACTGGTCTCGGATGTCAACTGGTATTTCTACTAGTTTCCAAATCGTATCAACTGGTATCAACTGGTACCAGTTGAGACCAGTTCAAACCAGTAGATACCAGTTGGAAATCCTTACTGGTTTCAACTGGTATCAACTGGAATTTCGACCTGGGTTTGGTTTATCACCTTCGATGCGCTATGATTAGCCCTTATCAGTAATCTCTGTTCCATTCATCATAATTTACTACCAAAAGATCAAATTGGAAGCGAATGTGGTATAAAATACTCAGACACAAAAAGTAGAACATTTTGACCACAAATGTTACCACAGCTATCCCCAAACGTAACGTTTGTTTTCATTTTAAAACGAAAGTCGTGTTTAAAGTTATTGTAATTATATTGACAAACCACTAGAATCGGAGAGTTCGTTTTGTTTGATATACAATTTGCCATGGTAGCCCGTGTATTGTTTGGAGATTTCGCCAATCTTAAATGAATTTTGGCAAGTGAACATTTGTATGGGAATCTTTCACATATATCGAATCATCTAATCTAATTTGTTGAATATCTTTAATATTGTAATGTTATTTCAAATTCAAAACACAGCTGAATTACGATTTATGCTTCGAAATGTTGGCTTTGTCCGTTATTCTACTCATTTGTATAAAATTATGCTTGATGGAAGTGGAAGCTTACCGTTTGCCTAATGTCCGAAACAAACAACGAAACGCGCGAGGTCCTCAGTCTTTCCCCTCATCAGCAGTGTTGATTGTGTTAACTAAATGCATCCCAGCTACCAAGGATTCACAATAATCTTGTTCTGATTCCAGTCAAAGTTACCGATAAAAAAATCACTCTAAAGATTGTTCTTGAACGTACGTTTACATGAGGTAAAACGATGTCGTTGATTATTTTGCACGATCAGAAAGAGGTAGGTCGGTGTCCACTAAATGACGAATCCGGTATTGGCACTATGTCGAAACACGCAGTGCTCTGAAAACAATTGCCCCGGAAATGAATCGTAATACATATTTCGTGTTCAGAAAAATGTTATTACCCATAATCCGAGTCACATGTACAATCAACGGACAAGATACCATGACTTAGATAATGAAAGGCAGAGGGGAAAGTATATGTACATAGTACATAAAGGTGGTATAGAGTGCGTGTACCCGGAAACGAAAACCTTCCACGTCAAATGTTTTACAGCGTCATCATTATAGCCATGTCAGCATAATATTTGGATACATATTTATTGCCTAGTCTGTCGGAAAAAACTATTTGAGAGGCTCATGATATAATTGGCCCGAGCTAGCTATTTAGGAGAGTACTGTATTATTTGGAAGCTAACAGCGACAGACAAAAAGAGCATTTTAGAAAAGACAGCGAGAGGGAGAAAGAGAGAGAGAGAGGGGGTTGTTATTTTCGATATATTTATGGATAAAGAGCTACACTGGTTTGCAAATCAAAAGTTAATTCTTGTTTAGAGATGTGATTTCGATTGAAACTACCAACAAATCACACTTACTCGATATAATAAGATTGTTAATAATTTAATCATTGCTGCCGAACAACCTAGATATATGTATGAGGATGTCCGGGCTGGTGTTACTCTTTCTTAACATTATCTCGTATCGTTTCCACTGGTGCCTTTTCTCCTCTTATTCATTTTTCTTTTCTTTATGTTGGCTACCTACCTGGCTGCCATCGTCAGCTGCTGGCGATTGGCGACCACATCTGCACATCTTGTTGTCGTCTTTCTCCAAATGTCGCTATCCTGTGCTAATCTTTTGGCTTCTGAATATGTACTTGAGACCTGTCCATTCTTTGATGTTATCAAACCATTGCTTTCTCTGCCTGCCTCTTTTTCTTTTCCCTTCTACTTGGCTTTCGATTATGTGTGCTGCTTAGGGGCTCCCAGTCCCACTGCCACGCAGAATGTCCCCAAAGTTTCCATCTTGAGGCGGGCCACTTTTCCAAGGAGATCTCTTTCTGTGCTTAGTTGTTGCAGAACACTGAGGTTAGTTCTTTTGTCCTTCCAGCTGATTTTTAGTATTTTCCTCCAGAACCACATTTCTGCTGCCATGATGCGATTTTCATCAGCTTTGAGCAGTGTCCAGCTTTTAGCACTATCAGGCAAAGCACTCCAAATTAAACCAGGGTTTTGACCAATTTTACTTTCAGACCGGTTGAGATGTTCCTGTCATTCCAAGTACATGCAGTTTAACCATTTTCTTCTTTGCTATAGCTGTTCTGATCTGTATATCTCTAGTACAGCTGGTATCGCTGTTCTTTATAGATCCAAGATATTTGAAGCTGTCCACAATTTCGACTGTTTCCCCGTCGATCTGGATGCTACAATCCTCTGAGGTTTTACCAGCAACTAGGAGTTTAGTCAAGAAAAGTGTGAAATCAATTTTATTGAGCAAATATTGACAAATCTCTTAAATTAACACATGATATCATATATGTTTGTCAGCATTTCCTTGATATAGCAGGAAAATCCCCCTCCCATGCACCCTCTATCCCATTTTTTTTTTTGGTTGCAAGTCACTGTTTATTTTTTGTTATTTTCCCCCAATTATGTTCTGTAATTTACTTTACTTTACAATCGTTATGATTTTAAATGTTTCTGGGCTGCAAGCGTATCAAGCTGTCACGCTTAGGCTGTAGCCCTTCTGTATCATCACCTCTTCGAGCGTATGTATCTATGATTTACTGAATGTGGAAATGTAATTTAACTTATGTTTTATACTCATGTAAAGACATTGTCACATTATTGTTATAACCTATGATGATTCAGTAACCAATAAATATTTCAACTATTTCAACTATAGTCTTTTCAACATTTAAATGCAAGTCGAGTTTCTTGCCGGCATCGTTTACTGCATGTGTGAGACTTTACGTTCGATGGGGTAGCTAAAAACATTTTTAGGTGGGAATTTGTTTGCGTAACCAAGATATGTTTTATGCTGAGCCCATCTTAAATAAATCCTTGTTGTGACCAGTTTCATTAACGTGACTATTATGATTTTTGTGACGGCAATTGTCATAGACTTCGGTCCCGAGACACAATTGATCATGTCTGATTGGCACAAGTATGTTAAACCAAATTAAACCCGCCTACATACACGCACACGCACACACACACGTAACACCCTTATACACTCACTTGGACGCTCATCTCTTTCTGCTGCTTTTACGACCATATCCGCAAACGATGTGATACAATCCATCGTTTATTCAGAGCCTTCTTCTGTGACGGTTCCTTTGATTATAATTCTTATTTTTTGGGTCAATTTTGCCCTTAATTCGCAGGCCCGGCGGATGGGAGGTGTATCTCTCTCTCTCTTTCTCATTTACATGTATGTCATAAGAAATTTTACCCTGCGTAATGGGGCGCATCTTTGGAGACGAGGTAGAGAAAATTGTCGCCTTTATTTGGGTGCTTTCCCCCAATATGTGATTAAGATCACGATTGAAATCTTTATATCAATCACTTAATTGATAGATGTTTATGTAATCTTCGTTTGAATAGTTCTCTGAATGATTGATTTGTTCACTCATTCAGTCAGCCACTCGTTTACTTATTCGCTCATATATCTACTCAATCGCCCACTTTTGCAATCATTTCATTCATATTTACATTCATTCAATTTATTAACTGATCAACTAGTTCATTCCTTCATCCATGCATGCATGCATTCATTCACTCATCCACTCACTAAGGCTAGCCGAATTGTCCCCTACATGGAGCTGGACAAACTACATTTAAACAAGCAGACTGCCTCAATGCAAATGAAAAAAAAACGAAATGATTGTAACAAATATGTCAGAGAAAATAATTGTTTTAATTGTGCAACCATGATAATTTCCATTAATGTCTTGATACGAATGTAATTTGTAACAGACTGCATCAAATAAACCTAGAAATGTGAGAAACACTACCTTTCATAAATGAAATTTTGAAATATGCAAGTGTTAACAAAAGGATTAAACAAATTATACAAGCTTACTCATAATATAAAAAAACAATATTTAAGCTTTGAATAATTAAAAAACCACGGGAAAATGCTGTTGTTGTGATAATTGATAATGTTTTAGGTAGAATGATATGTCGCTCATCAAAATAGGATCACGGATTACTGAACACCCCGAAAATAAATTCTATCACCACAATAGCCATACTTGACTATTGCTATGTCAGTATGAAAAACTCAACAATCATGCCAAAATTAAACTACAATCTGCATTTCATCCCCACCTCCAATCCTTTACACATGAACTGTCTTTCATGAACTCCTTTTGTAGTTGTTGTCCTACTGTTGTAAAAAGTAAATTGTGATTATTTCACTGAACAACGAGATTCAACAACAGTCTAATAACACTGAACAAAAATGTGATTTCACTTAGAGATTAACATTAATGAACCTCAAAATACATGTACACTCCTTTTCATAAACCCATCTGATTTATAAACAGCAAATTTAAGCAATTTCTCTTAAGATTTCTCCAAAAATATGTAGTAATTCAAGCACTTTTATTTCCACTTGAGAAGGTAGAGTATTGATCTTGAATTGAAAGAGGCACCATTGCTTTACCTGAACTAAAAAACATAATTTGAAAGGGAAATTATATTTCACCTAAAAAGAAACAAGGTGTACATGAGCACTTTTTACATAGTATAGCTACTCTCAAATCAAGTGACATTATATATACCTGTGCAGTACCATACATTTTATTACATATTTTACCAATAACCCTCTTTCAAAATTATATTAACTTTTGCAACCTTTCTAAAAGTCCATTTGTAAGCAGAAGCTTGATTATTCCGCAAAAAAATCCATAGAAGTCTATTGCCTTTATTGTGTATTGTCTTAAATGTGTGCCTGCATCTGGGAGACTTTTGGAACAAGTTGTGTGCAGTTCGTCGAAGAAGCGTATGAGTGAAATATAAAGGATTTCCAGAATGCCACCAAAAAAAAATCATAATTGTTGAAAATCATACTTTCCTTCACATAAAGGTAATAGTATTAGGATTTGAATTGGGTATACAAATGTACACAGTCTTGATATTAATCAAAATTTCATTCAGATAATTATGTCAAACAACTTTTCATTCACAAATATCACTAACTATTAGGCCTTTAGCGTGTATTCATGACACAGTAGGCTCATTTACATATCCCAAACACTGTTTCGAAAGACTGTCGATTTTGTTGGATAGCTATTGACATCGCTGGAACATTATTTGTTATGGTGTAACAAGCGCAATATGCTGCTCATTTATGCATGTTATGGATAACACAGAGCTTAGAGACTACGAGTGAGGCCTTTGCTGTGCGCACTGCGCAGTTGTCATCCAATTTACAAATTTTAAGATACAAATAAAAACCGCTGCAGTTCACCACGTCATATCTGAGCGAACCTTCATGGATCAAGCCGATTATAGTCGAAATACATTATGCTATTTCAGGCAACCTAACCCAGGCTCGGTTCCATGAAACTTCTTATTAATTACATATGTAAACAAAAAAATATGATGAGACAACTTTGCTCTTAGCCAATGATGCAAGAACATCAGTAGTTTATAACATGTTTTGTAACTTGTGATTGATAACAAGTTTTATGAAACAGGGCCCAGGATGGAATGACCCAACTCTTCCCTCCTTACATCCCTAGCTGTATGAACATGAGATGGTGCCGGGTAGCTATAGCAACCATGGTGGGTGTAAGACTGACAATGTAGAACAGAAAACTCAACTGTATTGGCCAAAGCAAATTACTTTGTATCGGCAAAGGCATTCTGAGATGTTGGAAATTCACCTCCTCAACGAGTTCGATTCCTAGCAGCTTGTACCTTGTTAATCTCAGCACATCTGAATAAAGCCCCACCGTTGCTACCACAACTCTATCGAGGCTGTCTACCGTAGCATACACATACTCATGATTATGGGTTGCTATGATGGAAGTGCCTACCGGACCTTCCCGGTCAAAGACAGTGACCGTGCTAGGCGTGATGTCACCGGTACTGGTGATCATTATGCCGGTCTTGGTAACGCAGATGTGCTGCGGTCGGATATGCCCAGTGGGGACCACTCTTCCGCTGACGGCGTTGTATACAAACAATTCACCTCCATGATTTGATATAACTGTTCTGCCACCTGAAAGGAAAGCAACATCATAGACGTCACCCACCTCACTCCCAAGGTATGGACTCTCATCTCCTGACAGGGTAAAGCGGTCGCAACCTTTTCGATTCATGGCGTATCCTAAAACAACTGCATCCTTCGACAGAGCTGCGAGCCCGAACAAGCGTCCTTCATTAAAAGGGAAAGCCCTTGTTCTTACAATACTCATTGAATTATTCAATACTTCTTCACTGCCAGCTTGCTGCTTTCTTCTTGCCCTGTTTTTCCTTTGCCTTCTACTACTAGTCTTCACATGTTGCATGGCATCCCCGGTTCCCAGACTGCTAACTGGTGGCACTCCCGCTTCTTCAGAAACCACAGCATCATCTGTGGTATTATGACTACTATTATTCTCTATATCGTTGACGCTGACATCTATACAACCTAGGGCAAGAAGCTCATCCCCAGCCGGACAAAACTGTACATTCCTTTTTATCTCTTCCACAAGTGGTGTAAAATCTTCGTCAGTGGCCCCCTTTATTGAATCCTCTAGATCAGCACATCTCAGATGGTCCGCTTTAATCATACCATGATCTAAAGGCTTACTTGCATGATGGGTTAACAGTTTGACAGAACTACTGATCTTACCAATGACTTCTGTGCAGCGATAAATACAGCCTTCCAACTGCTTGTCCAAGTCTTTCCTGATGCCTTCTATCTTCTTTAGCAATTCTTCCTCATTTTGCTGGAGAGCTACAACCTTGATGGCAAAGGCATCTCTGACTTCCTTCTCCAAACCACTCAGATGTGAAATCATGACATCTCTTTGTAGGAGAGCCTTGTTCAAACACTGTTCAAAGCGGGCCTTTCTCGTCGTGCTCTTCTCAAGAAGAGCATCTCTTTTGGTCTTCAACTCCTTTTCTAACTCCTCCTGCTTCTTAATCTTGTGACCTTGATGGCTGTCGATAAAGCATGTAAGACAGATGAACTCACCACAGGGCTGGCAGTAAATGTCTTTATAGACATTACTATGCAATGAACAGAATTTTGATGAAAGACCGTCTTCCTGACTTTGTGCGATGACGTCCACTTTGAGGAGATCTTTTAGACCTTTGGCTAAGAAGTTTGGTGTCAATCCTGCGACCCGTTCTTGATCCAGCTTGGTCGACTTCCTGCAGACTGGGCAGACAATGTGATTCAGATCCTTAAGCTGCTTGTCATATGCTTCTAAACACCCCCTGCAGAAGGAATGGCCACAGCTAAGGAGGGTAGCGTTCTTCAAGACATCAAGACACATTGGACAGTTCAAACACTGGAGCTTTTCTTCTTTCGACCTGGTAGCCATTGCGGTCTGCTGTCGGGATCACACTGCACAGGGGAAAATCGAAAAATATCTTTACACATAGTGGAAACTTGCTAAATTCCAAACAAAGACCCTGATAGCAGAGACTGGTAAATATCACGTCATATTTACGTCTTGTACTACGTCTTTAAGACGACATAACACGACGTCAAAAAGACATGATTTTGCACCCGCGCACGTCGTCACGAGGACGTCATATTTTGACGTGATTTTTACGTCTTATTAGTCAAAGAAAGACGTCTTTAAGACGTCAACTTGTACTATAGGAAGACGTCATATGGACGTCATATTTACGTCTTTTAGTTAAAGAAAGACGTCTTTAAGACGACATAACACGACGTCAAAAAGACTTGATTTTGCACCCGCGCACGTCGTCACGAGGACGTCATATTTTGACGTGATTTTTACGTCTTATTAGTCAAAGAAAGACGTCTTTAAGACGTCAAGTTGGACTATAGGAAGACGTCATATGGACGTCATATTTACGTCTTTTAGTTAAAGAAAGACGTCTTTAAGACGACATAACACGACGTCAAAAAGACTTGATTTTGCACCCGCGCACGTCGTCACGAGGACGTCATATTTTGACGTGATTTTTACGTCTTATTAGTTAAAGAAAGACGTCTTTAAGACGTCAACTTGTGCCATAGAAAGACGTTGTATGGACGTCATATTTACGTCTTTTAGTCAAAGAAAGACGTCTGTAAGACGTCAACTTGTACCATAGGAAGACGTCGTATGGACGTCATATTTTGTCGTGATTTTAACGTCTTATTAGTCAAAGAAAGACGTCTTTAAGACGTCAACTTGTACCATATAAAGACGTTGTATGGACGTCATATTTTCTTTTTAGGTCTTATTGGTTAAATAAAGACGTCTTTAAGACGTCAACTTTCACCCAAGAAAGACCTGTATACGTTGTATGGACATCAAATTTTGACGTGATATTTACACCTTACTGGTCATTTCGATGTACCTTTTATCCTTACATGATCTTTACGTCTTTGTTGTCCTCTAAATAACATCTATACGACCACCTGATCAAGGAAGAAAGTGTAAAAGTCACTTCATGTACACATTCTGAACAATCACACAGTAAAATCAAAGCAACAAATATTGCATCACATAATATATATATACATGCCAAACAGAAAGTAATTTTCATATTTTTAATGTACACGTATATGGTATGAAAATGGATAACAAAAATATAAAATACGTATTTCTATACCTTCTTATTCTATCTAACTTTGTTTTCCATTGGTACAAAATCTTTTCATCACTATCCTGACACTTCTTCCAAAACATGCTGTATAAATACCTAGTGTATTTCTGTCAGTCTCATAATTTATTTTAAGAAAGTTAACAGGCCATCACAAAGATATCTGTTTCGTTATAAATTGTGCTACAAGAAACTATGACATATTGGCTAAACTTATAAGTCTTACGGTTGTGGGAAGCAGGTTAGCAGCATAGAGACTAGGTAAAGCTATACTGATACCCGCAGTATTTTAGTAGACAAGCAAACAGCACACTGGGGAAGTTCCTCATATTCAGCAAAACAGCATAGTGGAAAGCTAGGCATTCATCAGTGCAGCTCTACCTCGTCTCCATGCTGCAAAACCGCTCCTGACAACCCCAAGACTTTAATGCAGATAAAGACTATCACATAAAACAAAAGGTTGTTGGAAAGAATTTCTGAGCATGAAAGATCAATTCTTGTTACATACAAGGGGAATATCTAAGTTCATGGCAAGAATTCAGTATAAAGTATAAAACTATACAATCTAAATCACACACAGGAGAAAAATGGCACAAATGATAAACACATGACTTAGCTAAGTTATTTCTTACACTCAAAAGGAACAAGTTGGCAGCAAGGGGAACAGGGAGAGCTTCACTGATACCTGCAGAGTTTTCTGATGATGGTTGCTTGCCCGTCAAAACCATGATGTTCACATTTGGCGATACAGCATATTAGAAAACTGCAGAAATCAGCTCAACTGTACCTATTCTCTGTGCTAGAAACCTGCTTCTTACGGGCACATGACTTAAATATAAGAAAAGGCATTAGTGGCAACATTCATCTTTATAAATATCAAAAAATTAGTTTTGTTGCAAATACAGAAGCTGAAGTTCAAGTATAAAATACAATTTATATCAGATAACATTCTCGCCAGTACGATTGGCTCAGTTGGGCAATTTCAAGGTGACGGTGGAATAATTATTCAGAAGATATTTCCCAGTTTAAGATGAAATAGCAAACATGCTGAAAAAGTTTAGCACAAAGAGATATATTCCATTGCTAATGTCACAACATTCATTTGGCAAGTCCCAGGAGTTTCACAAAAGAATTAAAATTTAACTTAAATTTTAACAGCAAATTCAATATACATGTAGGTAAGCCATATTGTGCTTTCAAAATCACAGATACAATCCAAGAATTTTATACTTTTAACTACCAATTTTTTTTCAAACCACAAGGTATTTATGGTTTTCATTGAAGGCGCTACTGTGTGTCACTCTTTAACAGTTAATTCTCCCAACAAAATTTTCAATTTTCCCCAACCGTTTTTCCATGAAAATAAGATATAAAACAGGCCTTTAAAAATCTTTCAACGCCTAAATTTGGAAAAGGTGTTGGAGCTAATTCGTTGCTTTGTGATGATTTACACTCACTTCAATTTAATCAAATTATAAAAATATAGTTGGGAGAATTAAGGAATGGATTAGATCAGTTTTCCCAATTTTAATCATCAATAGTGGTCTATTTTTAACTCAAATGTTCAGATTATCTTTAAGTGTACATACAGTATAGCATTGAAGTCAATACCTTAGCATCATTTTCTCTCATATGAACAATGTTACCAAGTCCCTTTAAGGCTCGTTCAGATATGATGCTGCAAAACAAAATCTCAGAGTTTTTTTAATGTTGACATAGAGTTCAATATGCTTTACATTTCTGTATATTATTTTTTTTAAAAAGCTCACTGAATATGCGCAGTCCAAAACATACAAAGACTTGTTGCCATTCGCTTTACACATAAAACCAAACTGCATCATTTTCGAAAATTGTTGGCGGTTCACGTTCCGTATCTGAACAAGTCTTAGTTGCTTAATAATGGAATCGATTTGTATTGTATTTAACTCACTCAATTTTTCTCTATTACCAACTTATATATAATTTGCAACAGGTTTTAAGAACTGATAAGAAGCGGATGGGGGTGGGGGGTGAGCATGAGACTGAGCATATCAAGTCTACTACATTTAAGCATTATGAAACAGGTCAACCTCATAAATAGTAATTACAAATATATGCAAAATACTGGAATCTTTTACTCAAACTGTTATTATGTCAGTTCGTACACCCTGTAATTCATTAAAATTGTAAGTGACATGAATGGGAATTTCAGTTCCACAGCTTAGCCATTCAGGTTTGTGGCTACACCTCACCTCTCCCCCTCCCCCAATCTCTCTCTATAAATTATAATGAAGTGAAAAAAAAACCTTTTTTCTAGCAGTTTAACTATCAGGTGAGTGTAGATCTACATGTAATTTTGGACATATTCCTCTTCAGCTTGGACTCATGGGTTAGCTTTTGGGTGGAATCTCTGGCATTATGCACTGCTTTCAGATCCAGGGAACATAGATGCAAGGAATTCTAGTGCATGAATAAAGCAAAAAGAAAGGAATACAATTTGAGACAAACTTTTATATATTTTAAAACTGGAACGTAAACAATGAATTAAATAATGAATTATGTCAGAAAAGTACTGCTTGGTAAGATTTATCAGAAATAATTTCTTATTGCTCACAAACATAAAGTCAACACACCTTTGGATTTTAAACATTTGTGGGCAATGCAAAACGTGATTCAGGATTTCGTTTGGTAAATTATCAATACAATTGTAGTTTGCTGATGAGGGCCATGACTCACCAATCGGATTAGTGGAGCCATCGATTTGGAAATATTCCTCTTCAGCTTGGACTCATGGGTTAGCTTTTGGGTGGAATCTCTGGCATTATGCTTTGCTTTCAGATCCAGAAAACATAGACGCAAGGAATTCTAGTGCATGAATAAAGCAAAAAGAAAGGAATACAATTTAAGACAAACTTTTATATATTTTAAAACTGGAACGTAAACAATGAATTAAATAATGAATTATGTCAGAAAAGTACTGCTTGGTAAGTTTTATCAGAAATAATTTCTCATTGCTCACAAACATAAAGTCAACACACCTTTGGATTTTAAACATTTGTGGGCAATGCAAAACGTGATTCAGGATTTTGTTTGGTAAATTATCAATACAATTGTAGTTTCAGGGATGCCAGTTAGAATTGATCAGAGGGCCTGAAAAATCACCTAGAATGTGCTAGCTTGTACACAAAAAACCTAAACTATGGTATGAAAATAACTCGCCAGGGCCTGAATTCAGGCTATTGCCTGAAAACTGGCATTCCTGTAGTTTGCTGATGAGGGTAGAATGAAAGCTCCTTGACCTATGCTGAAGGGTAAAAAAACACTGTTTGAAACTCACATAATATTGTCGGTTATTGCAACATACCTGCAGGTTTTAGTGATCTAAAATTAATTGAATTATAAATATATTTGAAACTCATGACAAATAACTGAAATAAGCCTTTCAAATGAAATGAACCATTATGTAGTGTCTAATTGGTCAGTGTCTCAGTGATCATGCACAATATGACAAATAAATGTACAGAAATAATACAAGTACATGTACACATTTACCGATAATATGGCTTCAACTGTTTCAAGAGGCTGCTGATCCTTAGGGAAGTAGGGAACATCCACAAGGTTGAGAGAGAGTAGCATTTTCTGCATGGTTTCACATCAATATACTGAGGCCACAATGTGCTTTGAATCCACTTCTTTGACGAAAGATGTTAAAAAAGGATGCCTACAAATAAATGAGAAAATGAATAAAGAACAAAATGAATGGTTGATAATGTATGCATGTGCAACACATATACTACAAACTTC